GCACAGATCGTTGGGCCGCTCTACAAATTATAAGCAAGTATACAAAATCCTACTTCGGCTTAGTGGGGCTGCGTTCTTACCCGGTTCATCAGGAAGGTTTTGTTAGTCGGTGTTGAGCAGATTTCTAGACCGGTTTATCGTCCTAGGGCAGCTTTCCGAGTTCGTCTAAAAAACTAAGGAAAAAGCTGGTTTAGCCAAGGCCTAAATCGGTTGCTAGTGTGAATAGAGTTACTTCGGTTAAGCCTCTAGGGGCGGCTTTCGAGTTCGGTTTAAGAACGAAGAAAACCGGCTTGGCCCCGAAAGCTTTAGCTCGGTTATAGACGACAGTACCTAGTTCGGTATGTTGCAGTTTTCGGTGATACTTTAACTCGGCTAGAGTGTGTTCAGGAAGAAAACTACTGATATTCCTACAAGTTCTAGTCGGTTATTTTCTGAATCTATCTACATACATAACACAAACAGTTCCTAGTTCGGTTTGGGATGTGATTCTGGATCCAAAAATCGAGTTTTCTAGGGTATATGACATATACTCATGGGGTTATACTGGTTTCTTCATTAAAATACTTGAAGCCATAGCAAAAAATGGAGAAAATGTTTCGCAAAAGCATTGGAAAGCCAACATTAAGCGAAACAGCAGAAGAGAAATGAGATTTACTTACCAGATTGAAGAAGGAACTACAGACTGAACGGTTCACAGCAAACGAAGAAACACGAGGCTTTTTGAAAATTAGGTTTTAAAAGCAAAGGCTCAGAGAGAGAAGATGACAGCAAATGGAGTGAGTAAGTCGAAAAATGAAAGGGACTGTCCTGTGTAAAAAGCAGAAAGGCGGGAAACTGTTTCATAATCAGAATAAACACGAAGACGGCGCTGACAGGGGGGGGGTTTTGGGGGGCCATTAGCTTATAGAGTTCCACGTGTACTGGAATGGGAGCGTTACAGTCGCTGTGATGAAGAGCTTTTGACCGGATATAGTGATACCCGAGGTAAACTTAGCTCGGCTGGGAAAGCGCCTAAAGGATTTTTAGCTCGGCTGAAAAAAGTATGACAAACTCTAGTTCGGGGCCAGAAGGCTGGTAAATCCCATCATGTTGCAAGATGAATTAAGGGGGCAATTGAGAGGGTATTTTGGGAAAATTGGGCGAACTTCGGGTTTGTTTTTGAGGCCAAAACGCAGCTGGACTAGGTAAAGGCCATACAGAATACTCCGGCCCAGGAAGGGCAAAATTACTCCGGCCTTGGGAAGACAAAGCTACTTCGCCAAGGAGACGAAATTACTCGGTTCAAGAAGAGATCGTTACTTTCAGCCCGAGGGTAGGGAGTAGAAATTACTCCGGTCTGGAGGCAATTCACAGTTAGGCCGGTCTCAAAGAGTTAGTCCGGTCGCAGTATGTTTAAAGAAGGCCGGTGTCGGAATTAGTCGGTCGTGAACTTATATTGTAGGTCGGTCCGACTTGTACTTGGAGTTGAATCTAAGCGCATTCAAGGTCAACAGGGCGCCGAAGTAAAGAGTTGGAGGAGAGACCGACCTAAGGGATAGTTCGGCCTTCGGTGGCTCGGTATAGCCCAAGTTTACTTCGGTTCAAAAAGAAAGTTCGGCCGTAAAGAAAACCATCCACTTGGTATTCGCAGAACAAGCTGTGGGGAGGGTTGTGGTAAAGGTAAGGCATTATCCTTAGGAGGATTGAATCTAGGATGAGACTCTGCATTGGAAAGTGCAAGTCCTACTAGGATTGTGCCACGGAAACCTTATAAAAGCTCACAAGCATCCCTTGGAGGAGGTAATAAAACACAACTTTCTGAGAACTTAGAGCTTTTGTCTATTTGTCAAGTTTCTGACTTAGGCATCGAGAGGTTTTCCGGCACAACCCGCCGGCTAGCTTCACCGTTGTGTGTTTTCAGGTGACAAAGCGACAGTCGATAATCGACGAGGGGAGCGTGGGACTTGGTCAACAGGATTCATACGAGGAGAATTATTTCCTCCCCGTACACACTGTGGTATCGGCAATGTCCAGACTCGAAGGTGACAAAGTGAGCTTGGCCTCAAGACAAAAGTGTGACAACAACACCGCCATGTATCCCAAATTTCTAATATTTGTGTTAATTAAGGAGATTTGAGATTTAATTAAGTCGTTATCTCTAATTTAATTTCGGGAATTTATGAGCATTTGGAATTGGATTCGTAATGATTCTGTTAAAGATTTAGTTTGGAATTAGAATTAGAGTTCAAATGGCTTTTAAGGAAGTGGAAATTTAAGAAGTTGAATCAACCTAATTTCTAATACAGGACTCATTTGGCGGAGTTTAATTAAATATTCATTTCGGTTAGTAAATTGAGATTCGATTAAATTGGGTCTCGAATTAGGTTAATAAAAAGATTTATTAAATTATGCGAATGAGAATTGTGATTATTACGAGTTAAATTTATTTATGGGATGCTATTAATTTGAATATGCAATTTATTGACGGAAATTTGAAGTCGATTAGAAATTGAAGGCCTAAAATGAGTTTGAGAAATCAAAATGATAATGGAAATTGTTAATTTAATATTTTTGAAAACTTTTTTGGAGTTTGATTAAAAATCGATCAGACTGTAAATTTAAAATAATTAATTGGGCTTCTTAAGGAAGTCAAATTATAAATTAATTAAATTAAGTAGATTTGTTACTTAGTTCATGGTTAATTGGATTAGGGTTTTACCATGGACTAATTAAAATTAAGAGATGGTTAATTAAACTAATTATTAATTAAAGTTCAATCTTCAAAATTAAATATTCTAAGCAAGATTAATTAGTTAAGAAAATATTTATCACCCACCTCGTCATACAGAAATGACACTTTTGGCGACCAAAATATTGGTCGCCAAAAGCCCCATTTGTTGGTCACCGAAACAATTAGCGACTAATATTTTTTGTCGCCAAAGTCGTCGCTATAGCCTGTCGGCGTAGTATTTGAGCGACTAAACTATTTTTGGTCGCTTGAAAGTGAAAGGTTTGGCTACTAAATATCTGTTAGTCGGCAAAGGTTATCTTTTGCGACTAAAAAGTAGTCGCCAAAAAGTGAAGCATTCGGCTAACAAACTCTAAGTAGTCGGGGAAGGGGTATTTTTGGCGGACTAAATATTTAGTCGCCAAAAGTGTTCAATAAAATAAATTAAATTTTCGCCGACTAAAACTTTTTGTCGAGAATAAGTTTTAGTCACAACATTACTAAACATTTAGGGACTTTAAAGAATTTAGTTCCCCAAAATAATTATTTCAGTTTATTAACTTTTGGCTTACTAACATTTAGTCACTAAAAGTTTCTACCTTAGGCGCTGGGACTTTTGCCGAACTAAAGCTGTTCGTAGCCAAAAACCTATTAAGATTCATTTCTTTACTTTTTGCCACCAAAAGTTTTAGTCGCCAAGATGATACCCTTTTTTCCGTGACTAAAAAATTTTAGTAGGCAATAGTTTATTTCTCTCATTCTCAAATTTTAGCTACTAATTATTTAGGGTGCGCAAAAATTGTTTGGGTTCTGTTTTACCACTAAATATTAGTTGCCAAAACTTTTGATTACCTATTTGGCTTACCAAAACATTTGGTGGCCAAAAATTTTCTGTTTTTATTAAAAAAAAAAAAAATTGTAAGACACCTTATTCATTTATATTACATGTACCCTGTATAAACAATTATAATCCCATCAACACTAAAATATATTATCAACCATTAAAGCATTCAACATTAATACGAATGAATAACCATGATTTAAATCCATACATAATACATTGAATAACCAACGTTCATAATTTAAAATTACAACCTGTACCCTGTATAAACAATATTAATCCATCAACACATAAAATATATTAGGGTCAATAATCCATACATAATCCATAAAAATTCCATACACTCCAAGTCTAATCCAACGTCAATAATTTAAAATCCATACATAATACATGAATAACCAAATTAATTTGTTCGAACCACTATATATACAAATAGAGGTATAAAAAACAATGCCCCCCCCCCCCCGTAATTGTCAAAAAATTATATATCCACATTTGAATGTCCAAAATCATCTGGAAAAAAAAATAAAATTCATTTAGTTGGGTGCCTATAAAATGTTAAGAAGGCTTTAAAAGCTTTACCCTGTTAATGACATAGATATTCTTACATATAACACTTCTATGTTGAGATATCAGTTCCACAAATTAACTCTACATTTTAGTTAAAATTAGGAGAGAGAAACAATTTATAAAATTAATGTCTCAGAGAAAGAACAATAGAAAAAAATGAATTCACACAACACTTTTAGAAAAGGGCCACCACATATGTGACCACACTCAAATGTCTACCAACTCCTTTATTAAATAATCAAATATAGGCATATATTATGGCAGAATGATCTATAATCACCGAGAGCTCAATTTCTACATAACCACCAACACAATAATCTTGCTTATGCTACCCTCTCAATCAAGAAAGCAAAAGGATTTAATTACTTATGATAAATAGATTTTAGCTACTGGTCATGCAAGAAAGCAAAATAATCCTAAGTGTGTGTATCTTTGAGAATCGAAGTTCATGCAAGTTGTTTGGCACATGATTCCCCAATAATCTGTGTTTTTGGAGAAAAATATTCACTTCTGGTTCTGCCCACAGAGACACACATATATATAGTTCTTACTATTGCATATATCATGGGGGTGGTCCACCCACCATTACAAAATTCACTAACTTGAAATTTTGTCGATATTTTACAGTAAAAAAAACAATTGATTGGAAACATGCAAGAAGCAAAAAATTTGTAAACTACCAACTACAATGACATGCAAACACAGTTGTCCTACATACATATACATAAACAAAATTCCAAGAGTTCCACACACACACACACACACAAAGAGTAATGTGATTATTTTATTTTATTTTATTTTTTAATTTGTGTGCGCGCGCGTTGCCTAGCATCATCATCTAATCCTTTGTACAGAAAATTAAGCATTGAAGGGAAAGATACATAAGATGGAAGTTAGGGGGATTTAGAAGAATTGGAAAATAATAAAAATTTGTTCCAACAACAACAACAACAATACAATATCCTCAAAACCCATCCCTCTCGGGCAACGAAAAGAAACAAGAAGCCACTCTGTTCATTCCATTCCAAAAATGCAAAAAGGAAAGAATAAAAAAAGCAATCCAAGTCTCAAAAGTATGCACACAACACACAGCATATATACATATATGTATAGTGAAAACTCCCTAGCAGCTGTGCCGGGATGTAGATGCGAGTGCCACTGCCTGAGCCCATACTTTGAGTCGAGCTTTCACATCTCTTGGATCATCACCTAAGTTAAACAAATTAATTTCACACTAGAGTCAGATTTTGAATGAATAAAATTAATAAACTCGTGAACAATATAAAAACTTGGGTAGTTTCTTCCTATAGTAACATTTTAAAATTGAGAGCTTCGTTAACCACCATGTTTTGTTTTAGAAATAAATGGGTCCTAGTTTAACACCTTTTTTATGTAGTAGTATAATATTTAGATAACTCATAATTATAAGCAAAATGCACAAAAGAATTGAACTTGGATGAATTGTAATGTATAATGAATCTCACAAGTTAAAAAGTATTTCTGTGAAGTACAAACTTAATACAAATCAATACAAACAGAATTTTCTAAAGAACCCATTATGCATACGTAGTAGTAGTAGTAGTAGTAATAGAAGGAGGAGGAGAAGAAGAAGAAGAAGAATACCAGGGCTAAAGATGTGCCAATTGGAGATGGGGGAGTTGCCGCCGCTACTGGTGTCAAGAGGAGATCCAGCGACGGAGACAGAGAGTCGAGTGGGCATAATTTCAAGGGAGGTTCGTTCATGTTCCAACTCAAAACCAAGGTCTCTACACGCCTTCACTTCATCCAAATCCATACACAGTGACCTCCTCCCTCCTTTAGGCCTCGTTATCACTACCAATCCCCGACCACCACCAGCACTACCTCCCCCCTCCTCGCTCTCCCCGCAGCTGTTTCCCCAATTGCTATTATTATTGTAATTATTCCCAACACCACCACCACCACCAGCAGCAGCACTACCCATGTCCCTATTAATCGCCGCCGTGTCTTCTTCCATATTGACCACCACCGTCTTCTTATTCCGTTCCCCCATAGCATTTACCAATCTCTCCCTCACGATTCTCCTCCTCCTCCTCCTCCTCATCTTCTTTTTATGAAGAAGAAAGTCCTTGTGAACTTCGTTCTCGCTTGCGTACTCTTTCACTTGCTGCTGACTCAAACCCCCATTTCGGTTCCTCTATCTCGGCGGTGTCATCGGCAGCGAGTAACACCCCATCGGCTCCTTATCGGAGTCCGACGACAATAATTGTTTTCCCTCTTTTTCATCGGAAAATTCTTCGTCGGCATCGGCATCAGCATCAGCATCGTTAAAGCAGCTCTCGATTGATAAGCGTGACATGAACATCATGATGCTATGATGATTGGCGTCGTCGTCATCATGTTGGACGTAGTTATTGGGATCACCATCCCCATAATCCTAAGTGTGTGTATCTTTGAGGATTTAATTACTTATGATAAATAGATTTTAGCTCCTGGTCATGCAAGGATTTAATTAATCCTGACTAAATTATTTTTAGTAGCTAAAGATTGTACATTTAGGGACCAAATTTTTTTTAGTCACCTATTGGGTAAGTTTTTAGCTACTAATTGTATTTTAGTCACCTATTGGGCTATTTTTAGCGACTAACTATTTTTTAGTCCCTGATTGGGTCATTTTTTGGCTACTAATTGTGTTTTTAGTCGCCAATAAGTAATATACGGCTACTAAAAAATTTTAGTAGCTAAAATATGCAACATTGCCGACCAATTCAAATTTTAGTCACCAAAGTGCTGAATTTTGGCGGCTAAATTAATTTTAGTCGCCAAATTTGGTCGTCAAAAGTGTAATTTCTTGTAGTGTATACATACGCTTGCCATAAGTTCTTTTGGCCACTCTTTGTTCGTATGACATATATTTCATGCAAGAATAGGCTCTAGTGTCTTAGAAGATGTTTGTGTAGTTATGGTGAGCGGATTTTGGGTAGGCAGGTACACCGGTTCTAGGGAAGGAGAGTTTATAAAGGTTGGTTGCCCGCAATTAGGGGTTTTACATAATTGGGAGTCTTCAAATTACATCATGTGCCTCTTGTCGCTCGAATAGCATTCCCCATCCCCTTCGCCTATGAAGCACATATATTTCTAAAATAGTGTTCTATCCGTATCGTACCTATATCAGATACTGATATTTTTTTGAATATTTGCGGATATGTATTCGAATTTCCTAAATGTATTCGATACTTGATGTCCAATTTGAGAAGCTTCGAATATCATTTAGACACTCTAGGTCACGTATCCAAACTATTATGAAATTAAAATTTTAATAATTTTTGCATATTATTAAAGTATAATTGTTAGAATAATTTCAAGAGTAACTTTTCAATATTTTCTTAAATCTGGCTTTCTTTCTCTCTCCGGCGAGCTTTGCTGGCTGTGATGAATGACAATGAGGGCTTGCCGTTGGTAGGGTACACCAAACTTATGACCGTTGGTAGTGGAGAGAGAGCTAGAGAGAGAGAGAGAGAGAGAATAGGTCTAAATATTATGGGTAAAAATGTCTAAAATTTAAAAACTAGGGACTTTAACTAGAAACTAAATTTTTTATGGATTTAAACCCTTACAAAAATATTTAAAGGGGTGTATTGCTAGTTTTCCTATAAGCATTGTCATTTACTATATCTTATGTAAATTGAATAAAAATCTTAATGATTAATATTTAAAATTAGCGGTTTTTGATAGATTTCAAAAAGAAAACAAGTGCCTGAGATATTACAAAGAGAGAGAATTTGGTTAGATCACTTTTTCCATTAATATCAAGGAGTGTGGCATTTTGATAGTTAAAAGGTCAAATTGTATGTTTTTATAGTTTAGGAGGTTTTCATGTAATTAACTCATTGCTAAATAGTACATTGGCTATAAAATAACCAAAATATTGGCACGTGTCTTTCAATCTCCCGATTTACTCACAACTAAAGGATGGAGGGGGGCGTATGTGATACATTTTGATAGTGTCAATTTGTATGTTTTTTAGTTTAAGGACCTAAAATGATATTTGACAATAGTTTAGGGGTCAATTTGTTCGTTTTTTTAATATAAGGGTCAAAGGGATACCTAACAATAGTTTAGAAGGTGTTTGTGTAAATACTCTTTAACTTGACTAAACGTCTTATTTCTAAAAAATTCAAAGTCTTATATCTAACTTAATGTATTTTTTGTTGTAAATATTTGATACATTTTTGTATTGTTTAACATTTAGTTAGGAAAATTTTAATTTTATATTTTACATATATGACTTTTTAATAGCAAAAATTTTACTTGGATATTAAATTTTTCAAGACAAATTATTTTTGAATCTCAAAAGTTTAATTGTTTAAAAATTACAATAATAATTACACTCTTTTTTAATAATTTAAAAGACGAGAAGTAGAGCATAAATATTATTATTTAAAAAAATTCTAATATCGACCCTCCGTTTTTAGCCCTAGGTACAATCATTCTCTACAGCAAATCACCTACAAAGTCGGCACCGCAATCTCTGGGCTGATGAAAGCAAAGGATAGATAGGGTTTTTGAGAATGCGCAAGTAGGCGGTGAGAAATTCTGAGGAGGATCAGATCAAGATGGCGACAAAGAAGGATTTGTATATGTATGTGCAGTCACCTAAAGTACTATGTCGTCTCAATGTTACCAAGTTACGCAAAGGTGGCGCCGATCTTGAACTTGTGTGTGATTTTCGCAATTGCACTAGCACCAACGGTGGATCCCTGATGGGAATGGGATGTATGGTTGTGGATTCCAAATTGTATATGGTTGGGGGTACGACTGTTGTAATTGATTAAAATGATGGTTCTTGTAATTGATGAAAATCATGGTCACAATTGAGAGAAAATTTTATGTTCTTTCCAGACATTCATACTACTCATACCTATTTGAACTTGAAATTGAGGCACCCTATTTTGAGGTTTTTGATTCCAATCCCGTTGACGGAGGAGATAGAAACTGGGAAATCCTCTCCAACCCTCTTAGCTTCAGTAAATCTGGTGGTGATACTATCCTCGACTACTTTGCTTGGGGACACAGGCTCAGAATTTATACCAAGGCTGGTTTCTGCATGTTTCACGCTAGTAAAAATAAATGGGAGGATGGGACAGAGTTTTCAAGCCAGTTTTGTGTTTTGGATGATCTTAGTTTTGTGCCTTGTCCCTTCGGTGTTGGAGCTGAATTTGAGGGCATTTGCGTTGCCATGTCAGCAAATGGGGATTAGCACATTGATTATGATTTTGAGGACGCCAATGGTTTCCTCAAGTCTCATTGGGTACTAAGTGAGCTTTCTATTATGTTCAATCCTCGGCTCAAGTTTTACGTGTGCTTTGCCACCTATCTCGGTAATGGCCGTATGTGTTTCCTGTATGGCGGCGAGGAGGAGAAGCTCTTCCCAGGTGGGAGGTTTATTATTTGTGTAGCGGTCTTTCGAGTTTCAAAACTGTTGGTGTTGGTGGCAAGCCGTTCCTTTCCGTACAAATTAAGCATCTGTGTTTGTGTTGTTCTTGTCCCTAGTGTTTTCGCCCCCCTTTTCAAGGATAGATATAATATATTTCATGCAAGAATAGGCTCTAGTGTCTTAAAAGATGTCTGTGTGGTTGTGGTGAGGGGATTTTAGTTACGCAGGTACACCGGTACTAGGGAAAAGGGAAGGAGAGCTTATAGAGGTTGGTTGCCCGCAATTAGGGGTTTTACATAATTGGGAGTCTTCAAATTACATCATGTGCCTCTTGTTGCTCGAATAGAATTCTCCATCTTCTTAGGAGGAAGAAAGGATATTTACTCGGATATGATATGACAATTGAAGGTGATTATTTCTCAAATTAGGACTAGGATGGGGAGTTCTAGGGTTGTATTACTAAGGCACTTGGATAATGGTTGTGGCCCTCCTCCTATGAAGCACGTATATTTCTAAAAGGAGTCCTATTTGTATGGTACCCATATCGGATACCGATACTTTTTGGATATTCGTGGATATGTATTTGAAGCTTCCTTAATGCATTCGATACTTGATGTTAAATTTTGAGAAGCTTTGGATACCATTCA